TTTCACGTCATGTTGTCTTTTGGGAACACACTATGTTCTCATCATTGTCAAACTTCAAAGTGTCATCCTCTCATCAACCTCCATTTTTTACTAATCTTTCTATTGAGCTATTTCCTAGTGATTCTAATGCAGGTACATCTGATGAGCTCTACAATGCCTCACCACATGCTCCAACCAGTTCTGTAGAAGATGATCTGCCTACTGGTAATGCATTAGATAATTTTAAGCCTTCTTCTACTTCCTCGTCTACAAATGAGCTTGTTGTCCCATCCTCGAGTCATCCTACTCGGGTAAGAAAGCCTCTAAACTACCTTCGTGATTATCATTGTTTTCCTGCTATTACTTCGTTACATGAGCCTCAATCCTATCAAGAGGCCTCTTCTAACCCTCTTTGGCAATAAGCTATGTGTCATAACTCAAAATTTTATCAAAAACAAAAAAATAAAAAATAAAAAAATATGAAAATTTCCCTTTTCTTTGACTAATATATCTTTATTTTGTTTCAGGTGTTACATGCAAAAAGAAATTGGAAAATTCAAGAAGAAGAAAGAAGGGACTCAATTGAAGAAATTAAAAGTTGGAGAGGTGAAGTTCATCAAAATGAATTTACAAACCCAAACCCAAAACCCATCAAAACCCAAACCAAAATTACCCACAAAAAAAAAAAACCCAAACCCAAAACCCGTTTAACCCAAACCCAAAAACAAAAAAAAGAGAAGGTGTCTGGAACCTTCTCTTTCCCCATCAATTTGTTTCTTTCCCCTTTGCGCCCCTGCTGCACCGAGCCTGCGCCCCCGCACGCCCAGCCTAGCTGCACCAGCCCTGCACCTACGCCCGAGCCTTGCACCTACGCCCCTGCTCCCTGCTCTGCGCCCAGATCGTCTGCACTCTGCCCCAGCCTGCACCCTGCACCCTGCACACCCGAGCCATCATGCCCCTACGCCCCTGATGCTGCACCAAATCAGCCCTTGCCGCCTGCTGCGCCGAACCCACGTTGCTTGCACGCCTGCACTCTGCGCCAGCAATCATGCCCTCTGCACCGAGCCATGCCCCTGCCTCTACTCGCTACAGTACATGCCAGACAAAGTCTTCATCATTACTGATTGACGGATCAAGTTTTTATTTTATTTCATCTTATTTTATTTGGGTATATATATAGGAAAAATCAGAATGAAGAGGGGGGATTTTTTTTGGAGTTAGGGGGTTGGTTAGTTTTTGAAGTTTGATAGAGAGGAGAGGTCGGTATTGATTTTGGGGGGGTTGATTTCGGGTCTGTTGCTGGGAGATTGGTTGTGGTTGATCTGGGGGGTTTTTCTGGTTGATTTTCGGAGCTGGAAGGGGATTTCTTCTGTTATTGAGTGTGGCCGGTTCTGATTTTGGAGGTTGATTTGGGAGTCATTGTTCTTGGTTTCGGGGGAAAGGAGAGAGAAGAAAACCGAGTTGATTCCGGCTAGATTCCGGCAGTATTTCAGCCTCCTTTTGCTAGGTATTTTCCTGCAACAGAGGAGTCTTTTTGGAGAGGCAGTGAAGGGAATGATCTGGGCTTGATCTCGTGGGTGAGATCCGCCAGATCGGACTCCGATCTGTTACCCAGAAAGCTCCGCCGTGTTTGCTTCTTTTGTCTTTCTGTTTCCGTGACATGCTTTTGTGATATTTACGTTTGTATATGTTTATTGAAAATCAATGAAAGATAAAAAAAAATGTTCAGTTTGTTTTGTGTGATGGTTGTGTTTGTATGAATGTTTTATGTTATTTTATTTTTATCTGGAATGAATGTGTTCTTTAAAAAAAAACAAAAAAAAGCAGAAAGGAGGTGAACTAGACTTTTTCTGTATGTTGTTTGATCTGTTTTGTTCGTTTTGGGTTAACGGATCGTGTTTTATGGGTCGGGTTGACCCGATTCCATCTAACAAGGAAAAATTTTAAAAAAAAGTAAAAATATATTAATTAATCAAGATAATTTACTTAATTTTATGAT